AAGAGTCAACACAGCTTTTGAAAACTGAAATCATTCCTCACAAATCTTTTAGGATTCTTTGAGAGTGTCAACAAGCATATGGACAAGAATTATCCAATCTATATGGTGTGCTTGGACTTCCAAAAAATCTTTGATAATATCCCTCACAAAAGATTCTTAAGCAAAATAAACTGTCATGTGATAAGAAGGAAAGTCCACTCTTGGATCAAGTAATTGGTTAAATATTGGACAACAAAGGATAGGAATAAATAGTCAGTTTTCACAATGAAGAGGGCTACATAGCCAAGTCCCCCAAGAATCTGTAGTGGGACTTGTGCTGTTCAACATATTCATGAATGATCTAGAAAAGGAGTGAACACGAAGGTGGCAAAATTTGCAGATTATACAACATTATTCAAGTCCAAAATGGACGGTGAACAATTACCTAAGGATCTCACAAAACCGGATGTCTGGGCAACTCTGGCCATGTCTACACTAGGAGACTAATCCAAATTTACTAAGTTCAACTTCTGGGCACCTGATTTTACAAAGTTCCGTGTCTTCACTATGGAGAACAACTGAATGTAGTTCGAAGCAGGCTCCGTTAATGTGGATGCACTATCTTGGACTCAGAGCCCCAGGAAGCACTCTGGGGAGCTGCAGGTGGCCTCACAGAGGCCAATAGGTTCAAATTAGTGGCACCAGAGCATCCACACTAACGTTATTTTCGACTTACAAGTTTGGAAATAGTGTTACAGGCAGTCCCCGACTTACGTGGATCCGACTTACGTCGGATCCCTAGATACGAACGGGGTGAGGCAACTCCCGCACATGCGCAGCAGCATTCCCGGGGCTCGCTCACCTGGGTCCTAGGATCCTCCTCCTCCTCGGGCCGGCTCCGACTGGGGTCCCGCAGAGCTGCCGGGCAGAGGAAAAGTGCCTCCCCACGCCCGCTGCCCCCTCCCCCCCCCTGCCAGCAACAACCTGCCCCCTCCCCTGAGCAACAGGCTGCCGAACAGCAGACAAAAGCAGCCTCTCCGCCCCTCCTCCCCCTATACATGCTGGGCTCCCTGGGCAAACAAAGACTCCACCAAAACAAACAAAGTGCTGGCCTCATTGTGTTAGCAAAAAAGGACCCTCCTCCTAGAACCCTGGGTGGTGTGTGGAAATAAAGCTATTAGCTCAAAGCATGGTGCAGAGCTGTTTGGTATTTGATGAGTTACTCCTTTAGTCCTGAGTTTGTCACAGGGACAGAAATAGATGTGAAATCTTCTGAACAGGGGAACAGACAGCAAAACAAACATTAGAGGGGAGTTAACCTTTCCCTATGCTATCCAAAACTAAAAAAAAGTTTGGCTAGAGTTTCTCCTACAATATGTACCAGTTCCGACTTACATACAAATTCAACTTAAGAACAAACCTACAGTCCCTATCTTGTACGTAACCCGGGGACTGCCTGTATTCCTCATGAAAAGCAGGACTACAGAGTTTAAATTCTGTGGCCCTTTATTCCAGAATAATGGGCTTGGTAGTGTGAACACATCGCTTACAACCTTGTGGGGCTAATTTTGGACTAAGGTCTTAGTGTAGACCAGGCCTCAGAGAAGATCTATAGGACAGCCAGGATTCAGGTCTCTTGACTCCCAGTCCAGAGCTCTACTAGACCATGCTGACCAGAAACTGAGTGTATCCTAGTTCTGTAACATTTCCTATATGTTACTCAAAATTATGAGATTTAGTCTAGGAAATAAAATCAATCGAAGGGAAACCATCACTTAATTTAGTACAGAAGCCTTACCTGAATGAGATAGTGAGAACATAAACTAAGGAGCTCCAACAACTGCAGGTGACTACCAGCTGCTAGCACATCCTGGATCACTCCTGGCTCCAACAGAATCTATATTGAAAACAGAAAAAAATAGTATCTGTTGTAAAGAACTATCCAAGGTATGTAAAAATATGGATTAAGAGGAAGTCAACATTTTAGGATTTTATAACTTTTAGACTCTGAAAGCAATAGGACTGCCTATGCATGTGAACAAACTTAAGTATATGTCTCAGTATTTGAAGATTTAGGTGTTATAGTTTAAAAAAAACAGTGAGACTATTCAGGGGTATATATACTCAGTGAAACAGATTTTTAAAATTGTTCTTAACAAGGCTTTTGACCAATATAATTACTGAGACTATCATAAAAGGCATATGATTTATTGAGCATATCATTTTTTACAAAAGCCACAAAAACACCCTAAAAAGCAGAATATAGCAATACGGTAACTATAATAATACAGTTTCATCAGCATTGAAGGAAAAATTATACACTTTGAATCTTAACTGATTCAGGAAACCCATACCACATCTCTCCTGAGGGAGAGATTTCTTTCCCATGTGAACCACATAGACAAAGAAGAAATTGTTACATGAACCAAAATGGAAAAATTAGAGACAAATTAGACAAAGTATGGAGAAAGGCAGCAGGTACACCAAATAGCCAGTAATGACACAGGGCAGGACTCCCAGTCCCAAAAGGTAAGCAGAATGTTAGAAATCCAGTGCACTTAGAACTCATATAGCGTTCATTTTCAAAGTATTTTAAACACATTATCAAATTCTTAATATTACTACCATTTTATGGGTGGGGAAATGGAAGAACAGAGTCAAAGTGCCACTGAGGGAGTATCAGAAAAGGAAAAAGAAACCAAGGACTTGATTATCCTGTCCATTGCTCACATGAAACTCCTGCTGATTTCATTGAGAAGTTAGCTGGATGCAACTGCCAGGATAGGATGGCCTCACCTGAGACCTCTCACTCTTGTAAGATCATTAGATCACCTCTCTCTTAGGAGACCAGAAATTCTTAGTATTTGTACATAAGATGATTGGGGATTATATTATAAATCCACAAAAATATTATTAATCCAGGAAAAACGGTGCACTGACCCTCAAATTATCAAATAGCAGACAATGGATACCGTATTCCTTGATATTTTTTATTTCATTTGGCAATCATCCTTTTAATCAATTTCCCCCTTCAGTTTGTTCCCTTTGCAGTTTTGGCTTTGCACCACAAGGGGCCACTCTTTGACCGCTGAGCAGGAAGCTAAAGCCCTCAGCTATTTTTTTACTTCATTCCACACAGCTAGCTTTCCCTGTAGTTGTGTCTCTGGACCTCCCACTGAAATGCAGCAAGCAGCAGAAAAGGAGGAGGGGAGACACTGGACATGCCCCTTATAAAGGCAAAAGAAAGTGTGCATCTTCAGCAGTGACATTACATTGCACTTTCTTTTTCTGCCTTTCACACAGTTTGCTGCAAAAACTAAAAGTAAGGGGCTTGGTTCTGGTTTACACCCAAATCCTTTTACACCTCTGATCCTTCAAGTGGTATTAATTACTTATATTCTCACTGTATGGAGCCTTTGCCTTAACAGAATAGGAACTTAAATAAAGTGGCCTTAGTGTAAGAAGCATAAGACCCAATCTGTTCCAAGCTTTGTAGCCAATTAGGTTTCCGCTCATGATGGTATGAGGCACAAGGAAAACCCGGAGAGGGCTACAGGTACAAGAATCTGTCAATTGGTAGCTATGTTAAAAATGTGTATTCTGTAGCATTTGTCAATGTGTTCAAATGAGAACTAAATGTCAGACTGCCATGCAAACCACTCTCATTCCTATGCTTAGGTTCTGGGTGATGTAGACCTTGCAATGTTTATTATTCCACAGTGCTTTAAACTGAACAAGTCCTGTCATCTGTGCTGATGTCATACTAGTTGTTATGTGCCAGACACATGATTGATGCTGCAAAAGGTTCAAAACAGAAAGAACCAGTGCCCCGAAGAGATTACAATCTTTCAGAGAAAGACACATTTTTATTTGTGCTTCCTCTGATGTATGAATATATTTTAAAACTATCAATCCATTTTATGGCATCGTGTAGATACCATTTGTAGTTGAGGTAGGATAGGGTTAAATGAGTTAAAATTTAAAAGTGATCTGCAAAAAGCCAGTGACAGAATTTTATAGATACATGACCGATACTCTCCAAAACAGTACACAAATATCCTGTTTAGCATAACAGCATAAAAGTATCCTGTTTATAACAACAGTTTTTGCAGGGTTTTAGAAGACAAGTTCTCAGTGCTTACAGGCTTCCCACACCAAAGCTATGTCTAGAATACAATCTTTTGAAAAAGCCTTTCAAAAGAGAGCATCTAGACTGCAAGCAAATCTTTCGAAAAAGTGAGCCGCTTTTTTGAAAGAGAATCCAGACGCTCTTTCGAAAAAGCTTAGTTTGCATTCAATAGCGCCTTTTTTCGAAAGAGTACTTTCGAAAAAAGGCATTATTCTTCATAGAATGAGATCTACTGCGATGAAAAGACTGCTGCATTCTTTCGATTTACTTTCGAAAGAACGCGGCTGCAGTCTAGATGCAGGTGAAGTGTTTTTTTGTTTTGTTTTTTTAAAGGCTACTTTTTTTTTAAAAAAACAACCCTGTCGTCTAGACACACCCCGATAGAGCTAACAGGGGTCTGATTTTCCAGTACTGAACCCTAAACAGTTCTGCATCCTTCTTTATACTTAGAGATATGATAAAATACTAAATGACTTATACTGGATGTGAAATCACCAGCGGACAGAAAGAAAGGCCACATACAAAGAAGAGGGGAAAAGCCTTAGGTAAATTTAAGCGTGAACTAAAAAGTCCTTATTGCCCTTGGAGCAGTCAGCACTTTGCGCCAAAGTTCCAGACCTATTTTTTTTTTAAAATTAATAGATCGCTTTTAAAGGATCTTCCAGAGAGTGTTTTCCTGGCTCCCTGAGGTGCAACTAAACCTGAAAAACATTATCAGTTTATGTCCAGCTGACTCTATGGCAGCAAATTCTTATAGTACACCTACCATACTACATATATACTCTTGTGCAGTGGGTCTAATTCTTCTCTCATTTTTTTAAGCAAACAGTTCTGAAGTCAATGGAGCTACACTAGCGCAAAACCATTAATCTTTGATTGAATTCACACCCACAAATCTAATTAAAATATTAGGTTGAAAACTAAAAAGTGAACTATTAAACAGAATTATGAGGCATAATTAAACATATAAAAGCCACTGATATAAGTTGGCAGAATTTCCATTGTCTAATTTACACCAGTTGAGAATCTGGCTTTATGTATATCACCAGAAGAATATATTTGTGTACTTCTGTTTGCACTGTTGCTGATCCCAGAATAGTAGAGAGAGAAACTGGGTGAGGTAATATTTTGTAGTGGACTGACTTCTGTTGGTAAAAGGGACAGGACACAGTTTTGAGCCAGAGAGAGGTAGAGCACACTTGATCAGACTCTCAACTAGAAAACTTGTCTCTTTTTATCAGCAGAGTTTGGACAATAAATCAGTTACCTTGCTACCTTGTTTGTACTACTGTCATATTAACATTAAAAAGATGTTACTTAGGTGTGATAGAAATGTAGCTGTGTTAGTTTTTTACTAGCATAAAAATCATAGTCCTGTTTTTTACTTGTCACTTTTTTAGCTGGCCTTAACTCAAGACTTGTTTGTGTTGTGTTTTTAAGGTGTATTACCTAACTCAATCATCAATTTGTGATATTATGTTATTAACTTTAGCACACAGGGGAAATGGTTATAATTATCAAAGTCACAGAGTTACTCTATATGTGCAATGCTGAACAATCAAAGACTTTTGTGTTGATTTTATACATGTCATATGTATCTTTAAAGAGTTGGCCAGCTATTGTTTTCCTGGCTAAATAGGTCTGAAACAGAGTCTTTCCTTCTGGAATTACAATCAATGGGGTTAATTAATGCAAATTAATGCAATACTGATATAATGGTATTGGTAACAAATGTGTTTGAAGCTTCATTTCCCTGCAGAAGTAATATCCAAACTCGTTTGACCTGGTTTAGATAATAAACAAAGGAATTGAAACTGTATAAAGTGACAGCCCGGACTTGGGAGATGGTCACTCACCCTTGATAAAAGAACTTATAGGAGCCTGTGACCGAAGATATACTTTTTAGAAAGAAACAAAGGTACTTTAAAGCAGAATCTGTCTCCATATGGAAGATGGGTGACTATGAATAAGCTAGTCATGACCATAAGCTCTTAATTGTTTTTCAAGATATGGTTTCTGTGAAATGTTTCATGTTCTTAATAAATAGGCTTGGCTTCATGAGTGCTGGCTGGCTGCTGAATAACCTTGCAATTGTCCTTGAGAGAACAGAATTGTGGGTGTTGACTAAAGTTGTATCTGCTGAGATGATCATTGTGAACTGCAGGAGTTTGAAACCTTGTTCCTGCTCTGGTTTTTTTTGTTATTTGATAGGATTCCCCCATTCCTCTGCAGACTGTGCTAGAAGAATAAATGAACTAGAACACCTGTCTACAAAGGAAAAAGTTGAAAACTGAACTTCAGGATAACATTTCAAATCCTTGTTTGTGTGTGTGATTTCAGCAATGAAACCTTTCTAACCACAAGATGGCATTACCACTGAAATATGAAATCTGTTCTTCTGATTAGCTGAAAGCCATCAGACACGTGTGACAGAGCCACATAACTGCACATCCTAGGTGAATGCCCTTACTTTTAATAGAGTTTTAAGACAACATTGATAGCAACCCAAACATGTCAAACAGATGTCAGGCAGTGCTATAAAGCTGTAAATACACACCTAATAAAAGAGACAGATTTTAATTTTAATATTCCAGAGCAGGAATATTAAAATTATATTATATATATTATATAAAAACAGAATATTCCTTCTGTTTTTCCATGTAATTACTATCATTTGCTCTTATTGCAATAGCAATTGAATAAGATAAACACTTATAAACAGCTAACAATATATTCACAAAGGTAGGTGAGGGTTTCAAAGACAACTA